AGGTTTTACTTACAACTTGTGCAAGATGACAGAAAAACTCTTAAACAGCAATTAAACAGCAAGTAGGCAGCAGCTGCTTCTTACAATGTACAGCCAGAAGATAATAGAACAACGAAGTACGAACAACGATTGCAAATGCGGGTAACAACAGCAAAAACTGTTGTATGAGAGCTCGGTGTGTTTGATATGTTTGGTAACGAGTATACAATATTAATCGTCCTAGGGGACACGGGTTCCTGGAAAGGGTGATCAGTCCTCTCCCTTTCCATGAGGACTGTTCGTGGAAACCCCGAGTTCCTGTGCTTTGGCGCTCTGTCCCTTTATAAACTCCTAAGCCAATCAGAATATACTGCTGATGTTCAGTTAGGAGAGTGTGACTGCCAGCCGTGCAGCCACACGTCTCATGCAGCTTCTGATTCGCTAAGGCCGTCTGATCACGCGCCTGTCCGCACTGTGATCATGAGCTCTTCACACGCTGAACACAACTTACCCTCGTGTTTCACATTGGTCTGGCATGTGGGCTGGCGTTTGGTCACCTTTTCACTCAGACATGCCCCCTTGACCAAATGCCAGATCAAATGCTTCGACACTCTATTCTTAACATATTGTAAAATATAACAAACCCTTCTAATTTCTATATCAACTACAAACAATGGTATTAATGGTGTAAATAAAGGTGTCAACAAATATATAAATGGAGAACTTTATAGGCTTGTTATGCCATTGTCATCTTGCTCTCGCTCAATGGGCTCAACTGGTAAATGAACACACATATAAAGAATAGCCAAAGCAACTACTATAAGATTGACTAAAGAAATTAAATTGGTAATCCAGAGTCCCATTATAAGAGTCTTGGTGATGTCATGTGTTGATGTTCTCTCTCTCGCGGATCTGGGTAGCGTCTCCCAGGTCGACCGGGGTGGCAGTCATGATCAACCCACATATCAGGATGGTGATTATCGTCACGACGATCCACGTGCACCTCGTGTTGGTGGTCAAATGATGCAGCGCAGCAAATCGTTGATGGCATGGCATTTTCACCAACTAACACCTTTTCACTCAGACAGTAACCAGGGTCCAGTCCACACTGCTTGTGCACCGCGCTCCAGCCATCCTGGCAGGGAAGGGAGCCCTGTCCTGGGTACCATTGAGAAGATGTGCGACACCTGTGCCAGAAAAGATATTCTGAATTGGAGATAAAACACATGCAGAGTTAAAGAAGCAACATTTCTTATCACGGCCTCATGGGGGGTGACATCCACAGCATGCCCAGCTCCTGCGCCCTGCACACATAGCTGCAGGGAGCGTTACTCAGTCCCTCACACCAAGGGCAGGGTCCTGTCGGCTCCTTCTTGATGCTTCATGTTTTTTCTGTACACGGGCCACAGGCCTGAAAGCACAAGAGCCCCTCGCTCCCCTCCCAGCTCTACCCCTGCCAGTGCCACCGGCAGCGTTGCCCAAGGACCTGATCCTGACCTGCTCACTCTGGGGTGAGGAATCGCAGAGCGAAATCCTCCCCGAAACTGGTTTTCCTGTCACTCTCCAAACGGCGCCTGATGATTACTAACAGAAAAAAAATGGGACATTAAAATCACATGAACACGGCGGAAATACTTACTCATCCCCCTGGACTGTGATTTCAAGGATTAAATGAATTGATCTGGGTTTGTGGTTCAATTCTGCCCTTCTTCAAAAAGGAGAAACCCCATCCCCAGTGCCTGTGGTCGGGCAGTTTGGCTGGGCATGGCTCTGTTTCCTCCCTCCGGGCTTTACACAGGAACAAACCACCCCCGAGAGAAAGGCACAGACCTGGTGCCAACTCTGGGCTGAACACAACCTGCAGGATCTGGTCCCACTGCCCTTCCCGGTCCCATTGCTGGTGCAAATCCCACACCTCATCTAGGAGAAGGAGGGCATTGGCCCCGAGGCTCTTTCACATCTGACTGACAACCCCCTGGGGCAAGAGGCCTCCTCTCGACACCTGCGTTGCCCTCGGGCTGGGGCACAAGAGGAGCAGTGCTCTCCGCAGCTGACTTACCTGTCTCCGCAGACCCCAGGCGCCCGGCAGCACCGCTCCAGCCTCCACCGGCAACTGCCTGGAATCCCACAGCGCTGCGATGATACGAACGCTGCCGCGGCAACGCCCGAGGACCAGCTCCATTGCCCCCCCCCTCAGTGCCACAGCCCTGCCAGCCCCCACGGCACTGCCATGTCCCCCAGGGCCACTGTCCGCATGCCTGGGGATGGGTGTGACTTGGGGCAGATCAGGCGCTCCCTAAATTGAGGGCAAGGGGAGGAAATGCCCAGTTTCCCACTTTACCGTAACTACTGTGTTTTCAACCGGTGCCAACATGAGAAGGAGGCATGGCAGGCACTGCATGGAGCTGTGCGCATGACACCAGGGCGCTTCTCACAGCTACACCCCTGCCAGGCTCCCTGAGCTTGCTCTGTGCTCCCTACTATGAACAGATGCACCAACCCTGCCCCCAAAACCTCGCTCAGGCTGCTCCAGCTACCCCAGGAAGCAGAGCCTGGGAACCCTCGTGACAGGACCTGTCCTGGGATACCCGCAGGTGGCATGGGAGACACTCGCCGATACATCTCCAGTTACCAAAACACCCAGGCAAAAAAAGGCCACTGCCACTCAAAATGCCAACCCCAATGCTGGCAGCTCTCCCAATTCATGTCCCGCTGGGTGGCCCTAGGGTCCAGCTTCTTCCAGTGCATGTGGACTGTCCTCTCCCACTGTGCCCTAAATACATCTCTGGGAGTCTGACCAACTCCAAGCAGGAAGACACCTCTATCCCTTTCCTGTTCCTAACCCTGGTCCCAAACCTGACCCTAACCTGCATTCAGCTGCTCCTGCAGGAAAGCCCACATGGCCTGGTTCCAGTGACTCGCCTAGAAGCCCCAAAACCCCATCGCTGGTCCTGCTGCAAATTTCCTTGCTGCCAAAACACCTCCCGGATCAAACTCCAAGTGAGGTCCCCAGGCTCCATCCAGCTTCTTCACAATGTGGAGGAGGTGACCCACTGCAATACAGCACTAACAGGGAGTCCTACACATCCCGAGCAGACAGACAGCTCCACACTTACCTGTTCTCAGTCCCTAACCAAAACCCAGCCCCTGCCCCTGCCCCTGTCCCAGTTCAGGCTGCTCCAGCAGCCTCCGGCAGGAGCCCCTGAACAAGCTGACTACAGCCGATCCCTGGCATGGGAAACCTTAGCTTGACCCTGGGGTAAGTCAGCCTGGGCCTGGGGAAGGAAGAAGGTCTGGGCATGGGAACTAAAGCAAAGCACCTCTTTAGGATGGTCAGCACTACTGGGTAAGGCTTGTTATGAAACCGCTATGTTTCTCTCTCCAGCAGCATCTCCACAGCCTGCCTTGCCATGCCAGCAGCCTCCTCGGTGCTCCAGCAAGCGCATGGCACATCTCTGCAAGCCTGGCCTTTGCTGCACCCTCCTGACCAGTTCAGCACAGCAGTTTGAATGATACGCCGTCCAGGCCTGCCAGTCGTCTGCACCCACCGCTCTCCTCTTCCTGGCCTTTCTTATCGGCTGCAGCCTGGCCCCTTGCTCAGCTCCCATCTCATGCAATGCACCAGCAGCAGTAGAAACCTTGCCCCTGACAGCTCTTGACCTTTGCAAAGCAAAGAAAGAAATAAGGCGTCTGCTAATCTTGTCCATAGATTCATAGAGGTAGGGTCAGAAGGGACCTTGTAGATCATCAAGTCCGACTCTCTGCCCTGGGCAGGACAGAAAACCGGGCTCAAATGACCCTAGCCAGGTAGACGTCAAGCCTCCTCTTAATGACCCCCAGGTTAGGAGCCAGCACCACTTCCCTTGGAAGTCGGTTCCAGATCCTAGCCGCCCTAACTGTGAAGTAGTGCCTTCGGATGTCTAGTCTAAACATACTCTCTAACAATTTGTGGCTGTTATTCCTTGTTACCCCAGGGGGGGCACTAGGGGGGACAGGGTCTCTCCCAAAACCTGCAGCTCTGGGCGGTGC